AGTTACCTTTTTCTTTTTCTTTTCCTTCTTTTTCTTCTTTCGTTCACCATCTTCATGCTTTTTCTGAAAACAAAAATGAAATTGAATGATAGTTAAATGTAGGACACATTGCACTACTTTACATGCTGTACATACCATCATTGACAAATGAAAATATACGTAAATGTACTGACACACGTCTTATTGTTAAGACAGAAGAAAAAACTTAACAATATAGCCAAGTCCAGGTACATGTACAATTATTAAATGCTTCAAAACAAAACAGGATTTGAAAACATGAGAAATATATAAGCCATACATTAAGATTGAAGTGAGTGCTTTCCACACATTTTAAATACTGTAACTGAAGCATTTTCTGCCAGAATTATTGTATATGGCCTTAGCTTCTCACTTACCTTTATGGAGCACAGTTTTCTTTGCCAATCCAGGTATTACAATGGCTTATACCACAGTTTAAACTACCTGTTGCATACCTTGGTATGTTATGTATGTAACACACAATCATGTTTATCGAGACTTAGATCAATCAAAATTGACACTACAAACCTGTTTTTTGTGTTTCTTCAAATCATGTACAACTTCAGGTTTTTCTATGACAAAATGCCCCAGATAGATAGCGTTAATCAGCACAATAACCTTCCTTGCCTACTGTTACCAAGCTAGTATATTTAAGTTCCTCCACAAAACACTGTATGAAAGAAACAACACATATGACAACAGTTAAAAAGAAAAAAGCTTGCTCACGAGTGGTAAACAGAGTGGTAACTGGCCAAAACACTCATAAATCGGTAAAACAGTTAACTCTAAATGACATAAACCTCTCTAAAAAACACAACTGCTCACTCAAAACTCTCAAAACTCTCGTGATAAATATACATACAACTTAAATTGATACATGCAACAAACGTGCCCATAACTCAAATTCAAAATATTTTGACTGTGCACGCATGCTATTCACCCACCACACCATTTCGGAACTGTCCTTCTCAACACAAGTGTAAGTGAGGAAATCAAAAATTGACAAGTAACACATACCAGTAGAAGAGGGAGTAGGCTTGTCTTGCTCCAATGGATTTGACGCCTGGCTGACTGCCTCACCTCCTTCTTTACTCCGTTCACTTTCCTGGCTTTTGTGCTTCTTGTGCTTATGTTTCTTCTTCACTGGATGCTGACTCATAAAGCGAAACTGCTCAGGAATCTGTAATAAGTAACAATTGATAATAACTTCCATGTCAGCTGATTTGCATCACCATTCAAAAATTCTTCCAGCCTACAGCGTAAGGCATTCCTCAGTTCCTTTTCAATTGAACAAGATGATTTCTCGAGGAAAAATCACCTGGCAAGATTATAACATGACACTTACTGGACCAGGGTTTAAGCGAAATCCAGACAAGGAGTGGCCAGTTAATGGAAGAAGCTCCTTTTCACCAATAGGAGGCTTGTCAACCACAGAACGAAGACTACAGAGAGATTAAAATGACAAGATACTAAAGTCAATATTGAATATCGACTGTTCATTATGTACTTTTAACAAGCCCATTGTACTGTTGCAGAAAACATCCATACCCCACAGAAGGTGTTTTTAAGTTGGAACCCCCACCCATCTGGAAGTTCCAGTTTTAGCCTTATACCATAAACTTCCGAAAGTAATGAGGGTCGTTACTTTTGGAAGTTAACTTTTGGAAGTTTATTAGCAGCCTTTGGGGCTCGCTACTTTCGGGGGTCGTTACTTTTGAGGGGTTATTACTTTTGGGGTTCAAAAAATGTCGTTTAAACTTGGTATGAATGAGCTCTTTTTACCAAATAAAACACAGGAATTCATAAAAACAGTTGTTAAAACATGAGATACCATTCTTTGTCCAGTTTAAATTTATGTTGTTGTGCTGTCAGTGGTCAGCATGAAAGCAAGTTAGATACTGTTAACTGTTTGTACTTTGTAATGCACTGCTATGTTGGTTTGCTGTAACAATATCTTAGTGCGTTCCTATTAATACGCTCCTGTTGAAAATGATATTAATTTGAATCAAAGTTTCCTATGGTATGTTCCTGTTACTTGATGAAAATTCTACAGGTTTTGTTTCAACACAACACAACATTAACTGATGAAGTACGAATTAACATTTCACAATGCTTCGTGGCATAAGTGAGACCTTCCCTTGTTGTTGAGTACGTTAAATCAAGTTGTTATATGTACCTTTCACCTGACTATTGATTGGAAAACAATTATTATAGGTATACATGTATTCCTACATAATTAGTTATGTGCCCCTAAAATGATGACCCCCAATGCTTGGAACAGACTGTAATTAATGCTGACTCAGACCCAGTTGCTATTTACATCTTTTGGGGAGAGAAGATTGGATAGTAGAGCAGATTAAGGCATGGTGGGTGTCATGGTTAGAGTCAAAGGAAAAATTTTTTTTTTTTTCTGCCTCTTCCCGTAATGCCTCACATGCTCCTCTCAATTCAGATTGCTTTCTCTTCAAAACAATCCAATCTGCCTGTAATAGCAATTGGGTACTAGTCTGCAATACATGTACACTGTACCTTGTAGCAAGTCAACATGCAATTTAAAACTTGAAGAATAGTCATAGAACATGGAATGACAGAATGGTTGCTCAGATAGTTTGCACAAAGACCATACATGTACATGTTAAACATGATAATGACACCACATTACCTTAACCCATTCTTTTTTAAAACTGTTCTGTGTTACTTTCTTCTTTTCATTCGTTCAAGAAGGTAATGGATTGACTTGTCTGTTCTGCAAGTAAACTATTGTGACTGTTTTCCTTTTAATGACATGCAAAACAACAGCAATGAGAATGTTAATGATAACAGACTGAGGTGGATGAAACGGAGAAGGAAAAACAGTTACTGTTAAGTGTTTTTTTGGTTTGAAGAAAAACCTACCTTCAAAGCATCTGTATTAAACTTAACATTCAATTAAGGAATTATCAAGAAGTTGCATGTAGATATGATATGTTCACTTAATACATGTACTTTGATTCTGTTAGCAACAATAAATTCTTAATGTGTCAACTATAGTTTTGGCCGTGAGAAAACAATGATAATATTTGCATATACTTCTGATATGCAGGTTGTCACTGATCATGAATTTGTTGCACTGATTCATGGAAGTTGTCTGCTTTGTTTTAGAACTATGATGACAATTTTCATTTTTGGGGTCAGAGGATTTATATCAGGAGCTTTTTAAGGCTTCTACATTTATACACCAGAGGTAATTTGAAGTACATTAACCCTACAGTTCTGCAATGAACCAGGCCAGCAATGCGAGATCATGCAGATATAAGGAACCCTAGGGATATGTACAACCCCAGGGATGTAACAGACCCTACGAATATGACAAACTATGCTGATATAAGAGATCTTATAGATATATATAGAATGTCCGGGAAACAGAGCCTTCGCACATACTGAACGACGCCTATATACACCGGCTCCCTACGGATATATTGAACCCTGATGTAACAGGCCTTGCAGATGTAACGAATCTCGTGTAGTGTAATGAAGTAACATTTTTTGCAAAGGCCTACACAGATATAGTGATTTACCCTTTTAGACCTAATGACGTATGTGATGTATGTATACTTAATTGGCCTCTGCCCATTGGGGCTTTTCAGGACCCATGTAAACAAACAATGATAAACAAATATTCAAATAAACATAACTAGGTTAAGAATCCCAACTGGCCGGAGGCAGACCAGTTGGCTATTTACAAGCGCACCCGGAAAGTTGAACTTGGGGTTACCAAGAACAACTAGACTACGAGTAGTCCCTCTTTCGCTTAGTCTGTCGTGCGTGACGTGAAAGAAAACCACGAGAAGAAAATGGCCGCGCAAAATCCTCACCCCCAGGATTTCGCGCAGCCATTTTTTTTTTCGCGGTTTTCTTTCGCATCACGCACGACGGACTAAGCGAAAGAGGGACTACTCGTAGTCTAGAGAACAAAATCAGCTAGCGGTCAGAACGTGATTTGAACCCAGGAGCTACGGATTTCAAATCCGGCGCTGTAACCACTCGGCCACACTGCCTCCCTAATCACCTTTCTTTGCATATATTTTCTGATTATCATTGCATCATATATCCTGTAAGACAACTGTTTTGGTGTTTTGCCATTTTGAGCTACTGTATATAATTTTATGTTATAGTACTCAAAGTAGAAGTCAACTGAATTCACAGAATTTTGCAAAACTAAAAACTAGCATCTTGCAACACTTAAATGCTTGCAATGCAAAACTGTACAGATTTCCTTACACAGTACAGAGTGGAATGCACAGTCTTGAAACGTAATGCAAAGCAAAAGCAATGTCTTAACTAATGCCTTGGTGATTAATGTTAGGAGAATGACTTTCGTTTTGTCCTTCAGGTTTATCCAACAGTAGTTCATGCTCTGGGTCTGGGCTGCTGCAATGCAGTGGCACTTATCGGAACTATGATAACACCCTTTGTATCACAGGTATGGCCTTTGGATTTATCACAAGTGTTAGTTTAGTTTTGATAACCCACATTAGTTCTCAGAGGTTAAAGGAGCTCAGTCACGGTATTTTGAGTTATTTTGGCCACGTACAAAATTAACTTTAAATGGTAGGAAACCTGAAAATAACAGTTTCATAGGATAGAAAAATACCAAAGAGATAATGATAAACCATAAAGGAACAAGGATGGCTAGGGATGGAGAAGATTAACATGGATTACAAACAACAAATTTAAAAAATTGAGGCTTAACTTTTCAATATGTGCAAACTGTGACTGAGCTCCTTTAAGTTTTCTAAGATACTTACCAAGAATATTAGAATGTGCTTTTTTCTGTTTGACCACATGTCCACCTATCTCATTAAGTGTAGCTGTACCACAGGAGTAGCTACTGTAGGATACTTCAAGCAGCTAGCACACTTTGAACATTTTATATTCTCAGTTATTACAACAGAACATTTCCGAAGGTGTGATCTTGCAGTGCTTTCTTTTGCTCATTCTACTTGTTCTATTTGTTTTTAAGATCAAAATGACTATTGACTTATTAGCTACGGGAAAACTCTAACTGATTATTTAAATGAACTTTAAACATTTTTTAACTTTTGTAAGCCTGCAGGTTTTGTCATCAATGTTGCTAAGTAATATGAAGCATCATTGCTGTGCCACACATCAAATGCTCATGCTCCAACCTACTTCCTTGAGTCTTTATTCCTTACTGCACAAGCTTAACGAAACAAGCAACTCTCGAGAGTTACATGACAGGCTCAATTTTGATTGGTTTTAAAAACCATAGAAGAGAATGGAAGTAAAACACCAGAGACTTTAATATGTCATGTGTTTGTCGCCTAGGCAGGCACAATTCTTCCGAAAGTCTGAGATTTTTGGATTTGCAGGGTTGCTCGCGACCGCGGGAGCCAAGGGAATGAAGGTTGCTCATTCTAGGTTTTGATTGGGTGATTGGAGTCCAAAACTTGTCGAGAGCTTCCATGAAATTGCGCCCCCTCCCAATTCATGTCAGGAAGTTACATTCCAGACTATATTAGAAGGTTTTCAAAATTTTATTTAGTGAAAGACATGCTTCAAAGAAGAAACTACATGCATTGATAGCAATGATTGTTGTTTGTTTTTTTTTAATTTTTGCAGGTACTACTCAGGGTGTCATTATGTTTGGCCTTAGGTGTATATGGCGTCATGTCTTTAGTTTGTGTTGTCTTCACCATGTTGCTGCCAATTGAAATGAAAGGACAGCCAATGGTGGTAAGATTTTTGCGCTCACTTCTGTTATTGTTGATGTTGCTGTTTGTGGCTGGTATGAACTCGTATTATTGTATAGTAGTTCTAGTGAAGATGAACCCTTACTAAAAGTGATTGATTGAGACGATAGAATTGGGTCATGTAATTTGTTTAATTATGTGCATTGATAGTTAGTCTNGATTTTCGGATTTGCAGGGTTGCTCCCGACCGCGGGAGCCAAGGGAATGAAGGTTGCTCATTCTAGGTTTTGATTGGGTGATTGGAGTCCAAAACTTGTCGAGAGCTTCCATGAAATTGCACCCCCTCCCAACTTTGAATTCATGTCAGGAAGTTACATTCCAGACTATATTAGAAGGTTTTAGAAATTTTATTTAGCGAAAGACATGCTTCAAAGAAGAAACTACATGCATTGATAGCAATGATTGTTGTTTGTTTGTTTTTTTTAAATTTTTGCAGGTGCTACTCAGGGTGTCATTACGTTTGGCCTTAGGTGTATATGGCGTCATGTCTTTAATTTGTGTTGTGTTCACCATGTTGCTGCCAATTGAAACGAAAGGACGGCCAATGGTGGTAAGATTTTTGCGCTCACTTCTGTTATTGTTGATGTTGCTGTTTGTGGCTGGTATGAACTCGCATTATTGTATAGTGGTTCTAGTGAAGATGAACCCTTCCTGAAAGTGATTGATTGAGACGATAGAATTGGGTCATGTAATTTGTTTAATTATTGTGTGCATTGATAGCTAGTCTGGGATCAAGCTCCCTTACTGTAGGGAGTTTGAGATAGCTTGCTTGCAGGATAATAATAATAGTGTACAAAGATTGACATTTCTTCCCCGCCCTGCATGCCCCTTTTTTTTGCAGAACATAGGCATGCAAAGCATGCAAAGGCAGGGCATATTGCAGACATCAGTGTTCTGTGTGTCTGGCAAACAAGCAACAGTCATGACTGTCCAGCAAAATATCTTGTACATTCTATTTCCCAGGCAAATTATCATTATGTGAAGTCCGAGAAAACATCACTCAGATGCTCAAATCCATGACCATAATCGTCAATGTATAGATATACGTAATAAATTATTCAATATTTTGAGTTGCCAATGTATGATCACTTGAAGTTTTTAATGTTGTTTTCTTTCATCTCTTTTGCAGGAAACAATGCCTTAAGAGGGCTTTTTTTATATTATTTTGTTGTTTTTTTTTATTTTTATACAGAATCTACCACGTAATTCCCCTATACTGGATATGGGCAGGAAATAGTTAGGTTTGGATTCTTGTTTCCTTTTGGTTATCAGTCTATGGAATCACCTAAAGTAATTTGTCATAACGGAAAAGCGTTCAAGTTAGACATAAACACCCCATTGTCCTAAGACAGACCTGAAATGTCTTGTATTTTTAATTCAACTCGATACTAACAGTCTTAAAAGTTGAGTGGAGAAGTGAATGGCTGCAAGAAAATCTAGGCCGTATATTTTTGCTTGTAACATATTTTTCATTGACCTAAGAGAAGGGTAAATATTAAATATTACTACAATGCAGAACTAAGGCCGGGTATGTGAACAAAAACTTGTTAAAAGGTCAGAAATATTAAAATATACTGGAACACAGAACTAAAAATTCAACTTCAACGGCAGTTTCGTGTTGTACAGAATAACACTTAATACGCACACTAAGTTATATACTATGCATGTACAGTCAATGTTTGGTTCATAAATTATACCATTCAGTTATTTGGAATATCGAATAGCTTTGCACATAGTTCACCGGGTTTTCTCCAATGTTTCAATTGTAAATGTCTGGAATCGCAAAGAATCAGGAGAATTAAAATTTGTAAATAAAACTTAAGCCTGTTTGTGTGATGTTTCTGGGATGTACATAATTGATGTCTACGGTAGGGTATTAAAGGAGCTTTTTCACGATATACTGTAAAGGTGCTTAAATAAGCCCCTCAAACCCTCTCCCTTCCCTAACTACAGTAGTTGTTTGTGTGCCTGTTGTTTTATCTCAAGATTCTTTCCACTAAAATCGCACGGATGACAAAACCTTCCGATGATATCTGGACCCACTCTCAAATACAAGCCCATGGATTATGTCATCACAGTGTCGTCACTATATCCTCTTACTTTCTGCTCTGTTTGACGACTGTGGGTAGAATTGTCTTTCAGATCCTTCCTTGACTTAAAGTATGCGTTCTTAAATGCACCTAACCTATTTAGACAAAATCACTAGCCACAAATTAATTAACCTAGGGCTAGAAGAACAATTCATGCTTCAGCCAGGCTTATTTCAGAATTTTCCACTACAACTCGCACAATATTCAAAAGGTTCAAACTTTGCTGTGGATTAATTGCGAGCAGAGTTAAACTGAGAGTTTTAGTTTCCCAATCATGGTTAGAACTGAACAAAGAAAAGCCCTTCAGGGTTTACTTCCCATACGTACAAATATGTTTTTTTTTTCAGAAAATCTAGCATTTATGTGTTAGTAGGGCCTAATATAAAGGAACAGAACTTACCTTGCATAGCACAAAACTTTCTGGTGAAACGGTAGTCAGTTTTTCGTTCTGCATTTAAATGCTGTCACGTTTTTATGAATGCATAGAGTAGAAGATTAAAAACAGCATGGTGCTTTATAAGCGTCAACCGTCTACTTAAAGTTGCCAGTTAAATTTGACAACCAGAAGCCAATTCCGCTATAGCTAGGCTATAGACATTGGGGATATTTCTAAGGAACCAGGCNTGCTATAAGGCCTTCTCAAAAGAACAATTTATAAGGCAACATATGAAAAACAAAATGCCTGGATGCCCATCTGGCTAAAAGCTTGAGTTCAACTGACCCTTCAACTGACCCCACCACTCTAAGCCATCAAAAACAACTGCTCCTATTAGCCGTATGGTTGAACATTGTGAAGCAGCATGCCAAAACAGCACTACAAAATAGCATGAACAACAAAAATGTTTATTTTGGCTTACCTATTTTCTGGTCCTCCCAGCTCATCCAAAACACCTGAAACATTTCACAGAAGTAACAACAACTTCAATACAAGCAATGCAAGCAACAGAGTTGTAAATTTTAGTTCATGTGACAAAACCACTTTAAAAATAATGCATAAATATTACAACACAATAGTTGTATTGCTGTGTAGTAACTTTTAAAAGGAAGTGCTTCTCACACAGATATAGACTTGTGCTATCTGCTATATCAAGTGCAGACACTGTTCAACAATCTTGTCTCCAGGGCAAATTATTACGATTGGATCAAGATGAATCTAAGATGAAGACAGGTCTCGCAAGACTTGTGGCAGTACTGCAGCTCCAAAATCACTATCAAAAAATTGTGGCCACTAAAAAATCCCTGAAGGAATGATCCCCCAAAAGTAGCAAACCCTCTGAAAGTAGTGAGCCCACTCCCTCCCCCCAATGTCAAAATAGTGAGACCAAGGTTCAATTTAGTATATTTTTTCCCATCTAAGGTCAGATGTAAGTTAGGTATGTTAACTTGATTTAAGGCAGTGTTCAATGGGAAAGGTACGGCTTATGCTGCTCATGTGGAGTTCTGCCTTCTGTGAAGATCTGCCTTTCATTTTGTACAAAAGCTCAATTGTACCAGCTTTATGTCACATGTTTTGCTCTCCAAAACTAACGATCCCCAAAAGTAACCAACCCATGGACTGACAGTAACATGCCCCAAAGGTTGTTAATTCGCAAAGTAACACAGTCCTTACTTTCGGAAGTTTATGGCACCACGATTCTGCACGAAAATTAAATGTCTAATTAAACTTATACCACACATAACTCAAGTGTACGTAAATGCACACATTTACAAACTCAATTATGCACTGTGCACTATGTTGTTTTGTAAAGGGCATGTTTCTATAACTCATAATTCATTTGTACCTTGTTGGCTTTGTAACTTCTGTTAACTTGTAAAATAAGTAAGATATGGACAAACATCCACATGTGTTACAATAGTCACGTTATTAAAACAAGACTGTGAAAGATTGCTGTTTATTGTAATTCTAATTGTCTATGCAAAGTAAAAGATATTTCCAAAGTCCAATATTAAACAATATGTTCCTGTCTGTATTGAATTCTAATAAGCTTAATTTAATAAGACATATTTCACGTATAGTATAGGAAGCCTTACCGGGCAAATGCGGCAAAAACGAACTCAATCCCTCCTTCACTTTTTTGCTCTTTTGGTAAGTCTGCTCGAAGCCATGTTTTACTAAAAGGTTGCTATTACTTTCTGACGGAGTTGCTGTAATGGAAGAACACAACAAAACGATTGGTGACCAAG